TTTTACGGCGCTCGCAACTGCATGAGGTCATATGAGCTCCAAGGGGTGGATATCAATAGAGGAGTCAGAACGGGGAATCAGCCTTACTCTGCTCACTTCTCTAGCCTCAACAGCACAAAGCCTGCTTCTGCTATCAAGGCACCCAGGCACAACAGTTCACAAGAGAGTGACAAACACGCAAAAGAAGGAGAGGAAAAGTGACGATAGTAAGGATGAGGAAAGAAAAAGCAGCAGTTTTCCCTATATTGTTCTGAGCTAAGGAGCAAGAGTGTCATCAATGAATTGGAAAGATAAGTGCAAGGATAAATGAATGACGGAAGGAAGGAAGGAAGGAATGAAACAACGAATTAACAATAAACGTTGGTCTCATTTATTCTGATTATGTGTGTGTGGAGGGGGGGGGGTGTTACTCATGCGCGCACGTTTGTGCTTGTACTTGTGTGTGGTGTTTGTTTGAGTGTGTATGTCAATGTGTGTGTGTGTGTGTGTGTGTGTGTGAGAGAGAGAGAGAGAGAGAGAGAGAGAGAGAGAGAGAGAGAGAGAGAGAGAGAATAGATTAACTAAAACAAACAAACCAACAAATTGACTCTGTTCTGTCTCATGATTCACAGAGAAGAAAGAAGCGCCCAAGTTCATCAAGAAACATGAGACCACAGAGGTAGTGGAGTTCAACAACGCCACCTTCAAAGTGATGGTCAGCGGCAAGCCCAAGCCACACGTGACCTGGTGAGTGATCACGTGATAGATATGACAGCCATTCGTAAATGTACATTGTATTCTCAAAGTATCATGAGAACTTTCTTAAATCCATTTTTCTCTCGCGCGCAATCGTTCTTTCTTTTGAGAAATAAACTGTCTTCAGCGGAAGATATACCGTACAGTAAAATCAGAACTAAATTGTAATATCTCAGTTTTCGTGGGTGGTTGGTGGGTGCTCTTGTTTGATTTGCTGCTTTTTTCCTATCTTACATAATATGCCATCCTTATCTCTTCTCTTTCTTTTCCTTGTATGTCACTTTCTAGAAACAGATTAAAATCTTCGCCACTTAAATGAACTACATGTGCTTGTTATGTAAGTGCTGTAAACCTCTTACGAAAACTAAGAATATAAGATAATATTAGATGAGATGGATGTGATGAGATGAGATAAGATGGATGAAATAAGATAAGATGAGATGAGATAAGGTGAGATGAGATGAGATAAATGCACCGATCACCGAAGGAACTATCTAAAAACCAATAGTCAAGCGGACAGTCCATCAATCTGTTGTGTGTGTGTCTACCAATGGTCAATCTATTTGTTGTGTGTGTGTCCACCAATGGTCATTCTATCTGTTGTGTGTGTCCACCAATGGTCAATCTATTTGTTGTGTGTGTGTCCACCAATGGTCAATCTATCTGTTGTGTGTGTGTCCACCAATGGTCAATCTATTTGTTGTG